TCCTTCTTTATGTCTAGAAATAATTTTTGCCTTAACTTTACATTTCCTTCCTTCCTTCCTTCCTTCTCTCTCTCTCTCTTTCTTTCTTTCTCTCTTTCTTTCTTTCTTTCTTTCTTTCTTTCTTTCTTTCTTTCTTTCTTTCTTTCTTTTCTTTCTTTTCTTTCTTCTTTTCTTTTTTTTTGACAGGGTCTTGCTCTGTCTCCCAGGCTACAGTGCAGTAGCGTCATCATAGCTCACTGTAACCTCAAACTCCTGGGCTCGAGTGATCCTCCTGTTTCAGTCTCCGAAGTAGCTGGGACTACAGGCATGTGCCACCATGCCAGGCTACTTTTTCAATTTTTTTTTGTAGAGATGGGGTCTCGCTCTTGCCTAGGCTGGTCTCAAACTCCTGGCCTCAAGCGATTCTCCCATCTTGGCCTCTCAAAGTACTAGGATTACAGGCAGTGAACCATCATACCTAGTCCATTTTCTAATATTAGTGTTACTAGACCAGTTTATTTTTGGCCTCTGTTTGATATACATTTTTCATTCTTCTCTTTACAAACTTGCTGTACTTTTAGATGTGTCTTATAGAGGCAGAATGTAGAGTAGTTGTTTTTGTTTTATTTACTTATTATTTTTAGCACACTGTGAAAATCTTTATAAAAGTACACTTATTCCATTTCCCTGCCATATAATTAGGATCTTATCTTTTTTACCTTCTACCACCTTACCATGTGCTTTCCATTTTTTCCATCAATTCTGTTTCTTTTTATCTCCTGTTTTCTTTCAGATTGATTGATACTGTTTAATATTTGTTTTTCTTTTCCTTCTGTTTACTTTGAAGTTTTATGTATTTCACTACAGTGGTTAATTTCCTTTTTATACTTTTAATAAGTGATTACCATAGAGGTTACAACATTTGCTAATGTTTTACTACAGTTGTTCCCAGAGTGTGTTTTATGGACCCCTGGAGGTTCCTTGAATATTTTTAGGGGTTCTATAACGTCAAACTCTTTTCATAATAAAGTGCAGATGACATTTGCCTTTTCCACTCTAACTCTCATAGAGTTAAAGTTTTCCAGAAGCTCAATGATAGCTAATATCGTAAGAGAATGAATGCAGACACATATGTTACAAATCATCTGCTTTCTGTTAGACCAAACATTAATGTAAATATTGCCACTCTTTTTGTTAAGGTTTTTTGAGAGTTTTTCCCACAAAATATAATTTTTATAATAAGATATAATGGGTTCATCATTAATTTTAAATTATTAATATATAATAATATATTATTATAACATAATAATATATTATTAATATGATACATATTTTAAATTTATAGTTTTATTTTCTATATGGGAATTTAAAGACATACCACATTTAAAAAAATCCAAAAAGTTCCCTTTTTAAGATTTTAAAAATATTAAAGGTGGTTATTCCAAAAAATTTCAGAACTAATGATTTACTCTCTTATACACTTTTACAAAGAAATTACTTTATAGATTACCACTTTTACTGAAATAGTTGCTTTAGAGATTACAAAATGTATCTACTAAAATATAATGTAAAATGTTACTTATATCATCTTTCCATGCAGTACAAGAAACTTAGATCACTTTAACCAAAACTATCTCCTATTAAATTTCAAATGTTTTTGTCTTGTTACAATTAATAATAAATATATGCAAAGATTTCCAACCCTTCAACTCCCTCTTTCTCTCCTGTATTTCCAACATTCTATCTCTCTGAACATTGTTGTCCATTTTGCTTGTTCCTTCAGTGCTGATTTTAACTAAGTCTACATGTCACAAAAGTCTGAATTTCACCTTCATCTTAAAAGATAATTTTGCTGTTTAAGGATTTATAGTTGACTGTCATTTTCATTCTATACACTGAGGTTTGTGTTCCATAATATTCTGGTTTTCTGTGTTTCTTTTGACAATTAATCCAATTCTTGTTCCTGTAAGGTAATTATTTTTTCCTGCCTCTGGGCACTTTTAATTTATTATTTGTTGTCTTTGGTCTTTGGTTTTCTGAAGACTCATAATAATGTGCTAGGTGTGATTTTATTTATCTTGCCTTTGCTTTGTTCATCTTCTGAATCTGTATATTGACCTCTTTTTATCTATTTGGGAAAATTCTTAGCCATCATCTTCTAAAATATATCTGACCTTTTCCTTTCTTCTCTCTGCTTGGAACTCAAATTAGAAGAGTTTTATACTTCTCATTATAACAGCTTTTTCTTTTATTCTCATCTGCTTATTCCAAACTGTTGTCTCTCCAGTCATTATTCTAGAAATTTTTTACTAAGCCATCTCTCAATTCACTAATTCTTTCTTTAGTTGCTTCTAATCTGTTGTTAACCCCAATTGTATGTCTTTTAAATATACATTTTTCAAATTTCTAATTGGAATATTTTATGATATGTTATCTGAGATGTTCTCTGAGCAAAGTTTCAAGCTTGTATCTTATATTCTGGCACATTGCAAACATAAATTAATGTCTGCGTCATAAAATTTCAATATTGGAAATGTCTAAATGTTGGGTTCTGCTTCCTATTGTTTTTATTTGTTATGCTTTTCTCCTGCTATACTTCATGATACTTTATTTCCCTATATCCTTGGTTATTTTTATTTTGTTCTAGACGATAGTTTTTATGAAACTGAAAACATATAATACTATTACCATTATCCAGAGAGGATTTCAGTTTCCTTTAGTCAGGAGCCTGGGGGAAGTGGAATCCAAGATCACCATAACCCATTTGAAGCTTGACATTTTCTTGGCCATCCGAATGGCTTAAGTGTGGGGTCTTGTCCTTACGAGGGCTCCATGACTTCTACCTTAACTTTTTTGTTAAGATTCAGAAATTTGTGATCTGAAATAAAAGCAGAGCATGTTTACTAAGGCCTTGACACTTGGAGGGTCCCAGACTTTAATATTTTACCCTAAACCTACAAGGTTGACCAAGGCAGCTCAGTCTCTCATGAAACATTTCTGTATAGAAAGTGCCCCTGTGGCAAAAGTTGGCCCCACATTTGGGTTCATGATTAACTTCTCTCAATTTTCATATTACTATGGATTTTTCTGGTTGTTCTTGAATATCTTGTAAAATATCTAGTGCTTTAAGCACATTATTTGTTTTCCAGTTTTCCAAGGCAACTTCTGATAGTGGGTTTTCTGAATTGCTTAATGCATAACTACTAGAAGTGTAAACTAGTCTTATCCTCCTTTCATTTTAATTCAATTATTATGATTCATTAAATATACTTACATATTTAACTAAATCATATTTTTCTTTATGGTATGGTCAGCTGTTAAGCTTCATATACTCTTTCAAAGCTATGATGTTATTTAATTAAGTATATCTAGCTATATAAACAATACAAAATAATCAGTTATTATAATTGGTTCTTATTATATTATTATTAACCAGTGAAGTCTCTATGAATGATACCCTGTGGTGTGAATTTCAAAGCATACATCGGTAATCTAAGAGATTGGAGACTATGTAATATAATTAAAAGAGCAAGAGACCTTGGTTTAAATTCCTATTCTAACTTGTATTAAGTTTGATTTATTCATTAAGCTAATTCATTGAAATCACAATTTCTTAATTTGTTAAATCAGGGACTTTATTTCTCACAGCCTTATTGTAAGACAAACTGAAATTATGAGATGGTGGACAATCCAATTATTTTTGAGAATAATTATAATTAGTGGAAAAAAGATGGGCTCTGTGAATCGATGACAGCAATAGTATTTCAAATCCTGCACTTCAGATTCTATCATTGTTATTAATCAACTGTTACCATAGAAATGCTGCACAACAAACAACACCCATACTAGGTAGAAGTATTTATTTCTTTCTGCAAGTGAACTGATTGTTTGGCATTAGCCACCAGGCAGGAGCTGGCTGGGCTTGAGTCCTAGCGGTAGGCTACAGCCATGAGACCAGAGTAAATTATACGAAGTGGGAAGTATATCCTCTTACGTAGAGCCGCCATGAAAGAGAAATTAAATGCCATGGGAATACATTGTCAGGAATGTAACACTAATTTGTTAAATGTTTACATATATGTTTGACCTTCACAACAACCAAATGATTGAAAGAGAAGAGTGGCTCATCTCACATTCTTTCTTCTGGAAATCGATCAACCCATGTGTAAGAGCTAGAGGCTAAAGAGTTGGTTTCAATGCCGTTTGATACGTGAATACAGTAACATAATTTGTATTCATCTGATATCAATGATTAAAATGAGGAAGTTTACCATCCTCCCCTGTCAGGCACAGGGAAGATATGGTGTACCATCCTAGTGGTCATCACGTAAGAGACTTCTCTTTGACTTGTTTCCTTTACTCACTTAAACATTTGTATTGTGGTCAGGGGAACAGTGGCTCACACCTGCAATCCAAGTACTTTGGGAGGCCAAGGCAGGAGGGTTACTTGAGCCCAGGAGTTCAAAACCAGCCTGGGCAACATAGAAAGACCCCATCTTTACAAAAAATAAAAACAAATTAGCCAGTAGCCTGTTGTGCCAGCTACTCGGGAGCTTGCTTGAGTCCTGTAGCTCGAGGCTGCAGTAAGCTATGTCCTGCCACTACACTCCAGCTTGGGCAACAGAGCAAGACTCTGTCTCAATTTTTTTTTTTTTTTTGTATTGGGAATACATTTCTATATAATAAAATGTCAGTAATTGGAAAGCTGATGAGATGAGTTAGTGGATTCTATTATATTATACTTGAATATTTTTTGCAGTAGGAACTGGTAGAGATTGGAAAATATAATTCATGGTAGGCTGGACTGCATAAACAAACAAACACTTGATAAATGCTGATGAAAACTCTTGTCAGAGGTTGGCATTCACTTATTTAAGGTAAATCTGGTTCAATGTACTTTTTGTACCAATTAATCTGATAATTTTGTGAGAGATTACAATACCATAATACATGCAAAATACACGTAAGATACCTAAAATAAGAAGTTTCCTGGCAGTTAACTATGTTCAATTTCCTTGCAGATCGTCTACATGGGCTGGTGTGAAGCCCGGGAGCAGGACCCGCTGCAGGACCGCGTGTACTCACCGACCTTCCTCGCTCTGCGGGGCTCCTGTCTTTACAAGTTTCTGGCACCTCCAGTAAGTGTTTTTATCCAAATGTATTGTCTCTCCCATGTTTTCACAACAGATTGATGTCAACTTAGCAATACCAAATAGCATATTGTCAATATATTGTGAAAATAAGATACAGAAAAAAATAGAAATCAGTACAGATGGTCCTTAAGTATCTTACTAAAAATATGTTCTGGCATTAAACATTGCTTTATAATAACCCTTGAAAAATCTAGGAATAATTTCTGTTTACATAGTGAACCTAAAAAATAATGAATAAAATTATAATGCTGTTAAAAATTTCATGAAGATATAGGAAAGGAAATTTTAAGAAACAATATTTCTAAACATATGTCAGTGCATTTTGTTAATTGAATAAAAATTAAAGCAATGAATATGTCAAGGGTAAAATAAAAGTGAGTGATTTTGAAGATTCATTATACATTAACCAATATGCTTATCAATCTCTTATTTTTAAAAGGACTTTTGATAGCCCTTTTAAATTTCTTTGACACTTTCAATTACTAACAGTAAGTTTTCAAGCTGTAGTTAATTTATTAGTAGCAAGTTATAATAAGTAAACCTCAGAAGAGAGCATTCTGTACAATTAGAATTAAGTCTATTTCAACCTTAGCCAAACTTTTGCAGTGTTAAAAGTTTAAATTGGAGGGCTCTTTTCTTGGTAAAAAATCAGAAATATATTCTGGTGAGCTTTCATTTACAACAGTCAAAATATGTTTATCTCTATTGTACAAGTCTCTCTAAACCAAGTGAATGGCATTTTTGATACTCTATTTACACTCCATATTCTAGTCATTAGTGTTTGTACTAAATATGCATGGACACCTATTGCACCTAATCTTGGAAATGTGTACCTTATAGCACAGTAGACATCTAATAAATATTTGCTGAATATAAATACCAAATGCCAGACCACTTACTTGCAGATCTAATAATACATAAGGTCTAGACATCATCAAGCTCAACTTGCTGCTATTTTAAATGTCTGTGTCTACATAAAGTTTAAAGCACCAGGAAGTTAGGGGGCAGATTAATATTTATATCTTTTACTCTATTCTATTCTGAATCATTTTTTATGAAAGGGAGTCAGACAAATACATGTTTTAAACGTAAATAAGGAAAACAACTCCATTGTAGTTTTGGTGTCTTCACAATGTCATAAGGAATCTTAAAATTTCTTAATATAAATTATATCCTCTTTTCAAAATTAAAGCCAATACTCTTCTCTGTGTTTAACTGGTGGTAAATTGAGAAAAAATATTATATGCGTGGAATGTAAATACTTATGATTTATATGTAGAGAATACACATATTATTTACAATACATAGGACATGGGGCAAGTAAAAATTGTACACAACAAAAACTGTTTGCTGAAAGGGAAAGAGACGTGGTGATAAAGCTCAGAATAGAGGAAGCAAAAACATCACACAAGGACCTTTATGAAAATAGTGTCACAGCTGAGAGGCTAAATGGATGCATCCCTGCGAGTTTCCCTTATCGTTCGCCCTACTGTACGAGTGAAATAGGGAGGAAAATGACTCTCTGAAACAAATGACATATTATTTTCTCACCTTTTAAAGGTGACCACCTGGGACTGGACCAGAGCAGAGAAAACATTCTCGGTTTATGAGATCATGTGCAAGATTCTCAAGGTATGATAATAAATAGCCATTATTTCAATCGTGTTCCCCCAGCCAACAGTGGTTCCAGGTTCATTAGTAGCTCATAAAAACAAATGACTCACGGATATAAAAGAAAGGACAAAGAAAAGATAAAGAAAAATAATACATAAAGGAAAAGAAAATATAGAATGCAGGAAAGCACGCACCCACGTTAGTGGTTAGATAATGCACAGTTTCTGCCGTGCCCCAGTGGGAGAGGGAACAGGGAGCAGCTGGGGGAGGAGTTCATTGAGGAAGAAGTAGAAGGTTTGAATGGAAATTGTCTGAATTTAAACCTTGATTGTCATTATAGTTTCTTCTTTTCAATTCTTTTTCTTTTTCTTTTTTTTTTTTGATGAACAAAATGTATAAGAGAAAGATTTGGGCAGAAAATATCAAGATAAATGCAGAGAAAGGTTTTGTTTTGTTTTGGTTTTGACCTTGTGGTTTGACTATCTCTCTGAATATGCAAAGGATATAGAATACAGTTGACATAGATCAATTAAATGTCTGTGCTATACATAGGATTCTTGTAATTTCAAGTCATCAGGCATTCTGTAAAATTCCAAATGGTTTCTATAGCCTTTTTTAAAGAATTAAAATAAAAACAACTTATAAGACTTAAAAAATAATTAACATTCACTTTCTGCTTTGGGATTTACAGTCTCGGAAGCACCACAGATTGATAATTAAATCTTTGCTTAAGGCCAACCTTGTCTCTGTAACCAAGGAGAACTAAGTCCCCTGTGCTTTATGTTAGTTATTTCTTTTCAAGTTAAAGACTTAGTAGAGTAGAACATGTTGGAACATTTAAAATATAATGAAATGGATCAAAAGTGTCTGAAGGCAAAGAGACAAAAAAATGTGATTACCTCAAAAGTGTTCATAATTTTTCTTCTTTACAGAGAAGTTTAGATTAAAGCTGAAGTTCTCTATAGTACAAGATCTAATATAGTTTACTGACAGCTCATCACTGTGCATGCTGTGAGTTCTGCTGTGGGCCTAATGGTGGAAGAACAACCTGCAACACTTGAGTTTATTGTTAGTAAAGAAGATTCTGGCAATTCCACAAAGATGGGCCAGTATCTGAGGAAAAGGAGATCATATCCAATTCTGAGTTTTTGAAAAAATTGCCAAAATAGACAACGGTATAGCTTTCTAATTGTATATTTTTAATAAAAGTACTAATGAACTTAGAATAAAAGCAAGAAAGCAAGAAACAAACAAACCACCTCAACAAATCAGGTGTGTTTGCCATTCCCTGTATATGCACTAACATAACCTTTTCACAGTAATAATCAAAAATATATTTTATATTATTATTTAAACAAATTATTTCCAAACAATCTCCAAATAGTTACATGGTCTTTAAAAACCCCTCTTAGGAAAAAAAAAAGCTGCTTAACCATTACAACATAATGCAGCTTCTTATAATATTTTAAATAAGAACAATTTTGAAGAAGAAAATAAAAATAATATCTGACTCCATCACTATATATATAAACACTCAATATTTTATTTCTTTTAGTTAAAATTTTTTGACCAATGTAAGATTATGCTAGTTGTGATCTGTTCTATCATGTTAAAAATGCCTTAATATTATTTCTTTGTTAGTTAATATTCTTAAAAGAAACTCCATATCTTTCTATAGATTTTATCTATCCTATCATTTCACCATATTCATGTAGTCAATTTTTAAATTTTACGTTTGGGTTCTTTCCCTACTTGTTCTTGCTATCAGACATATCACAATAATCATCATTTGATTTATTTAACAGAAAATTATTAAGTGCTTCCTATATACCAGGTAATCTAAGCACTTGTAATATGGCTGGGGAAAGGCAGAAAAAGTCACTTCTCTCATTGAGCTTGCACTTCATTAGAGTGACACAATGTTAAATAAATACATAAAGGAGACAATAAAAATAATAGGGAAGAACTGATCTTTGCTCAAAGACTGTTATGCAAATTCTAAGTTATTTCCTTTATTCTAAATTCTGAGTTTTGGAAATCTTGGATGGAAAAAATATATTAATATATCGAAGATGTTAGATTCATTTGTCTAAATTGCATCCTACAGAAGCCATATCAACTTCTACTGCTATGACAAGTATTTATGAGAGTGCCTGTGTATTTGCACTCTGACCAAATTAAAATCAAAGAGTAGTTCTCATTTTAACTTTCTACATAAAATTTACTAGAATCCTATTAGTTGCCTTAGAAAAATTTTCGCATAAGTTAGTGAGGCTTGGAGATAAATATTCTCAGAAATCAAATAAAATATAAATCTATTCTCAGTTGTTAGATGTAAGTAAGAAAGGTCTCCTGCCATTAACGAGTACCACACTAATGCTCTATGCTTTGTGGCTTTACCTTTGACATACAAAATCATCCTTCAGTCAACCCCCATTCCAAAGGAAACTTTTGTGTAGACTAAGAACAGAGGAGTAGACATTAGACTCAGTGCTAAATGGATTATTTCCCTGCATGCAGATCATATTCTAGCACATTCTCATGTCTCAGGATAAGTGGTATCAGTGGTTGGAGGGTGACTGGCTCGACAGTCTCAGATATTTGAGGCTGGCGAGCAGCTGTGAAGGGGGTTGTTCTATAGCCCAGACATCCGCTGCCGTGATGGAGCAGTCCTGCGGAAGTTGTGCGAGTTGTAGACTTCTGCCTCTGGAAAGGGATTTTCCTCCGATGAGGAAAATTTAAAAGCATATTTAAACATCTGGACTGCAGAATGTCTGGCCTGGGACCATGAATCAGAAAAACGCTGACTGTTCTGATACATTGATAATGAAGCTACACCAGTAATAACAAAATGAAGCAATAGTGAATATCTGGTATATGCGTCTTACCTGTACGTGCCCGATATTGTCCTAAGTGCATTATACATTAATCCATTTAATCTTGGCAACACCACTATAAGTTGGTTATTATTATTTCCATTTAACATAATGGAAACTGAGGCAAAGAAAGTTTAAGTAAGTGGCCGAAGGTCACATAGCTAGTAAATATCAGAGCTAAAGATTTGAACCTGGCAGTGTCTAAGAAATCTGTGCTCTTACACATTGTACTACACTCCCTCTTTCTCTCTCAGTATAAACCTTGGTAATTTGAACAGAAATGAGAACCAGAGAGCCAGCCCAGTCCTGATGAGAGACCAAAGCTTTCAGAGTAAGAGAAACTTGGCAACAAATGCCGCTTCTTTAACTAAACACATAGTCCTTTAAAAATGCACTGGGCACTATAAACTTCGATTTATTTATCTGTTAAGTGGGGTTACTGATGCAGAAGTTGTCATGAAGATTAAAAATTTGCCATTAGATTTGTAAATGCATTTTTGTTTATTAATTCATATTGCAATTCTTCATCGAGCGCCTTCCACGTGCCCAGCGCTCCACCGGGGCTGGGAACCAGCACAGCTGTATGGGAGGGCTGAGCCCACAGCAGTCCTGGCTGACTGAGGAGTTTAGGAAGGGCATTGGGAGAGGACTCAGATGAACTGAACCTTAATGATTGTTAAATGGTCCCGCAAAGGAAAATGTGCCATGGCTGGGGCTGGAGTTCAGCCAGAGGGAGGAAGAGGGAGCATCCTGGGCCCAGGGAATAATACGCAGACTTTCCCAGGCGTGCAAAGAAGTGTGTGTCCCTTCAACAACTGAAACAAATTGAGTACAGCTGCAGTTTGCTTGGATATGAGGTTGTGTTGGTGTTTGGATGGGCGAAGCTGTGAAATAAACATATAAATTACATGAACTTTATCTGAAGAACAAAGGCAAGCTGTTGAAGGATTTCATGCATGAGCAGGGACAGAGTTTGTCTTTTAAAATATCTTATTCTAGTTCCAGTGTCAGATGGGATTGGAAGAGTGGCAGAGGAGGGCTCCAGGGGCACCTTCAAATGCGGGTGTGGGCAGTGGGCTGGGAGAAGTGAGGTAGACAAGAGGGTCTTGAGCACAAGATTCTGCAAGGCCAAAGGCCAATCAGTGTGCACGTGGTAGGACATGCTTGCGTAGACCAGCCCTCTAGCACAGCTCTGGTTTTACTGATTCCTTTGGTAAAATGTTCGCCTAATATAGCAATGTAGCTAAACGCAGCTAGAGAAAGACACACCGTGCTTTCAATTCTAAATTAAAACCTCAAGAAAGCCTCTAATTCTGCCTCACCATTATGCTATATTTTCTTAGCCCATTCCCTAGAACCTGTATTAAACCTTCTTTCTTTTTTTGTCAAAATTAGCTTGCCATTCTCACTCCTAGGTGGTGGTTCTATTTCCTGCATGTAAACTGTCAGCATTGCAAACACCTAGCAGCAGCCCTACCCTGACAGATGACTGTCCTTACTCCTCCTAAGGCCAACTGCTCCCACTGGATGAAAGGTCTCACCACTGACATACACAGAAGCACCAGCAGTTCTATCCTGGTGACCCAAAAATGCACATGCCCTGCCCAGACCTAGTCCCTGAGTTTTCTAAGTGTCCGACAGTATACATGTCTGCCCAGTGACATGCCTAATAGAAATGTCCAATGTTACACATCTCAAATTTAGGATTGGCAATGGCGAGGAGCCTGAAACAACATGGGGATTAGAGAAAAAAATAAATGAACAAAAAGCTAGAATTCCGTTATTTTTTTCAGAAATGAGGAAAAGATGTAGGGAATAGTCAACACTACTCATGGCAATTAGCTGATCTGATCTAAGTCACAGGACTGGGTCCATTTGAGCATTAGAGGCTCTCTGGTGTTCATCAGCGGGGTGGTGTCCAGTTGCCATGTGACCTGTCACTTATTCAATTTTGGGCCTTTATTAATTAAATAAGATGTAAAAGTAGGAATACAAAATTAGGCATGAAAGTAAATACTGAGTATGAGAAAAGAATTATAATGGAGAATAATTATAAAAGTTGGCAAATATAAATATTTAAAATCTATGAAAAATATCTTATATTTTTTATTAATTCACTAACTTATCTCTTTAGTACTTTTC